TTTCAAATAAATTGTAACCTAATTGTATAGACATGCTTAAAATAAATATTAGTTAATTAAATCAAAATATTTATTCGCCAAAAACATTTTAGAGTAATTGACCAATCAATTGACCGGCTTGCCAACCCTATAAAATAGTATATATTCCACTTATGAAATCATATCATTTGCACATACAAAATTATTAAAATCCCCAAGAATAAGATTTATTGTATATATAAAATCAGGACAAGGTTCTCCTCGTCCTCCTTCTTCTTTCTTCAGATAATAATAACATGGCCAGATAATATTAGCTTGGACAATTCTTACAACAATATATATAAGTCATAGGCGTAGCCAGGCGGGGGAGAGGGCAAGGGGAAATTCCTCCCTTCTGAAATTTATCACCTGTTGTGTAGCATTTTAAGCTAATAAAAATATCCTCCTTATTCCTCTTCCCACCCTCTGTCCCCCAAAAATGTTTGTAAATACCTTAACCCATAATTCGAAAGAAAGTATCTAAAAATATTGATTATAATTCATACTTTTCTGGAAAAAAGCATTTTATATATAAAAAAAGTGAAACCAAAAATGTTTTTTTAATAATGAAATATAAGCCAAAGATTAGTCTTAAGACAAAAGGGAAATGTGTTATAGTTACTATTAATAGATCCATAAAATTACTAAATAATATAATTTTTTATAAAATAGTAACTTTAATATATTTTTCTTAATAAATAAAATATAATTATAAAATTATTGATAAAACTAAACTATAAATTAAGTAAAAATTAACGCACTACAAACAGTGGAATATTATATGTCGTAGATTTGCAGTATATATCTAATTATATCAAATATCGTATGACAAACAAATAATTTTTACCAATAGGGAAATATATATTTTACAGAAGACTATTGCTAAGGACATCAGAAAATATCTTTTAAAGAATGTAAATTAAAAAAATAATTCTAAATTTTAGTAGCGTTAATATCTAATAAGGTACATCATTGTTGGATGAATAATAAGATGTTTAATTTTCAATAATATTTTTAAATAAATAGATGGCTTTAAAGAATTGAATGCAAATTGTTTATATTTATTATCAAAAGCATTTATTAGTAAAATTTATTAAAATAATTATTCTATAACTGTCAAATATGTCTGTAAAAGTGGCATTTTAACTAATACTTGTAATCAATTCTATATTAGAGAAATATCAAATATATGTCTTTATATTTGTTTGGAATAAATTATTAATACTTTTTTATATTATATATATGCAATTTATTATATTTTAACTAATAAAAATATATTTCCTATATGTTCCAGTCTTATATTCTAATAAAATCTCGTAATCAATTTCTTATATTTAAAATAAAGATAATATTTTTTATTAAAATTAACATTCTATCTTGCAAAAATATGAATATATAAACTAAGAAAACCCAGCGGAAGACTGGGCAAAAGCGGGCCGAAGGCCCGCCCAATTGACCCCCCCCTTTAGGAAAATCCTGGCTACGCCTATGTTATAAGTCATATAATCTCGAATTAAAAAATATTTAAATCAACCGAAATCAAAGTGGATTTTTTAATATTCTCCTCTTAGAGTAAATGATAATAGCAAGCCGATTCAAAATAAATTTGAGCTAACTCTGAATTCGAATCCTTAAGCTGATTCTTAAGACGAGTCTGAAGTCAACACATCAAGCCGATTTGAAGCCATCTTATAGAGACATTCTGAAGCCGTCTTATCTAGCCAACTCATGTGATTCATAAGCTGCTCAATATAAAATGAGTTTTGCAGCTCAAAACTTAAATAGAATTTCAACAATATCTATTATATACAATTACAATTATTTTTATTCTATGAAAAATGCAAACGCTCGATTCTAGGGCATTTCTTAGACAGAAAATTATAAATTTAAAAAAATTATTTTGTTCTGTTTATGAACAATTTTCTTCTTCATTCTTTTTAATTAGCTTTTTTTATACGAATTTAATATTTTGATTTCTAAATGTTTTATAAAATATAATAATAATTATTTATAATATTTTAAAAAAGGAAAACATTAGCATATCGGGGGGGGGGATGCCTTTGATCGTAAGACACTTCATCGTATTTTTCGTCCAACTCGTCCAATTCGTTCAAAATGGAGATTAAAAAGTTTGAAGTGATAAAAATGATATTAATTCATTTGGAATGGTAAAAATTTAATTTTTAATGTATTATTATTATATTTAACAGGTTTCGAATGGTAAAAATGTTATTGATACATTTGGAAAGGTAAAAATGTTATTAATTCATTTGGAATGGAAAAATTTAATTTTTAATGTATTATTTATTATATTTAACAGGTTTGGAATGGTAAAAATGTTATTGATTCATTTGGAAAGGTAAAAATGTTATTAATTCATTTGGAATGGTAAAAATGTAATTTTAAATGTATTTATTTATGTTATTATAGGATTCAATTTATACAGCAAATTAAGAAGCATTTTATTATTCAAATATAGATTATTTATAATGTATAAGACAAATATTTATAATGTATAAGACAAATATTTATTATTTAAAATGTATAAAACAAAGAAACATGATTAAAATAAATAAAAATTATTCAACATGTATAAAACAAATATAAATTAAATATTATCAAATACATTTGAATTGTATACTAATTTAATATAAGCTGATGATTTATCAGCAAACTCCAATTTATTAATAATATGATTATTATATTGTGTAGTCAGCTTTTCCAAATTTATTTCTTTTAGGATATATTTGGAATTTGTTTTTTTAGAGTCATTCCTATGAGGTAATATAATGCCTAATAATTAAATGATTATAAAATTTGATAACTTGTTAAACTTGATATGGCATTAAGAGGTTGCATGTTAGGTGTTACTAGGGGTTGAGATTGAGCAAATATATTACCTAAAAGTAATGAATATAAAAAGATAATAATTGATGATACTAGTTAAAGTTGGTTGAGAGTTTGTGACAAAGAACTGAGACTGAGTAAACATATTGCCTAAAAAAAATTGATTATAGAAATTTTATTTTGTGAAACTTGATATGGTATTAGCAGACTGCATGTTGGGCATTGCTAGAATTTGAGATTGAGTAAGCTGATACTCTAAAACTATATTGATTTTAAAAATCTAATATTTTATGAAACTTGATAATGAAGGTTGTATAATTTGTTGAGATAATTGGAATTGAGTTATTGGTTGACTATCAGACATAAGTAGAAGGTTATTGACTAAATAATAGGTGTTATAGTGAATTATCTATAAAATAAACTTACCAATAGGGGATTTACATTGTTCTAAGGTATAATCTTGATTTTCTGTGAACTTACTGATTGAAAAATACCCCGTCCAGAACAACTTTTTTTTCTACATCAGTAATATGATTTGGAATTAATTACTCTATGCAATGTATATTCCAAATCATTAAAACATAGAATATCATGTCCTCTTTTGGATTTTTTATTAGTAATTTTGTTTTCTAAAATTACATTACTAAATTGATTATATCTAGATTGTTAACATTGAATTATATTGGGATTAATTCTTTTCTCAAGAAGAATTGTGATATTGTTTGATACCGTTTTAATTTCCATTACAATGATTATAAATAAAAATATTTTTAAACTATTGGTTTTCCCGCACTTTAATGAACCAATCACAGAATTGGACGAAACTTTACGATGAAGTGTCCATACGATCATAGGCACGGAAATCAGCATATCAATGTCATTTAATCAATAAGTCGGTATTTAGTAATATATTACAAATTATTATTATGCTTGATTATTTATTCAGTTGAGAGCGTCTTATGATCAAGTACATATTTTTAATGATATGTTAAATTTTAATAATATGATAACATTGTATTTTAATATAGCTTTTTATAGTCACAGTGATATATCTTCAAAATTTCAAACTAACTAAATGATAAATAATTTCAAACTAATATATAAAATTCAAATTTTAGAAATAAGACGTAGATGGGGGAGTGTAGGGGGGGGGCTTCTGAAATTTGCCTCTAATAGCATTCCTTTCTAAATTGCTAAATTTAGTTTTCACTTATATTTCATATAAAATTTTTAAAGCAATTTTGAAAATATTATTAATAGTTGCTAGGGGAATAAGCACTAGTAGTTCCCTTTCTAAATTGCTAAACATAGTTCTCACTATGGAAAATTTTTAAGACAATTTTAAAAATTAATAATAGATGCTAGGAAAATAAGCACTAGTAATTAAATTGGATTTTTTAAAAAATTGCTAAAAATGGAAAAAATATCAATTCTAGAAAATCATTTTTTTTTTAAATTCCCTATACTAGAGGTTAGCCCAATCCATGGTAATTTTTTATTTTTTTTTACCTAACCTGGTCTATAATTATTTCTACTTGGACTGTCTATATAATTTTATAAAAGTTGTTTGGTCTAGCTCAATAATTTTCCTTTGAAAATAGTTATACTTAATTTTAATTTTTGAAAAAACATAAAATTTTTGGCCAGCCTGTAAAAATATTTTGCATAAGTTGTCTATCTCACCCCAAATATATTCTTGTTTGGGCTGCAACTTAGGTCTATAACAGGGAATTTCAGTTGGGAATGGGGGATATTTTTTTTAGAGCTTTGCTGATATATATGGAATAATAAAAATCTATGTATAGATTTTCTTAAAAACATTTTATTCAAAATATTTATTTATCCTGGCTCTTAAAAATCAAAAAAGTCTCGAAGCTTTAAAATTTTAAAAATTTTATCTTTAAATTTGTAAAAAGGTTTTTATTTATAAGATACATAGCAAATAATGTCATATTTTATTAAGTGCTCTTAGAGAATAATTATACATATAGTTCCATTTTTTTTATTTAATGATGATCAGAATTTTCATTTTAACTATTTTAGCCTTAATAAAATAAGTATAAATTTATATGCTAGCACACTATGTATATAGTGAATTTCTATCAAATAAACAAAAAAAGTTGCCCCTCATATATTTTTAGATTTTGTATATTGGTAGTATATAATTACAACTAAGAAAAAAAATAAATTTTACTTCCCTATATACCACTTACACGCTAAGATATGACAGGTCAAAGAGTTGAGAAATGATATATTTTTGACAAAATTGCACTTCATTAATTTTCAAATATCTCAGCAATAATTTAAATTTTATTATATAGCTTAATAATTCTTTAATATGGCATACCCGATTAATACCAAAAACCGGAAATACAAAAGTGCAAATAGCCATAGAAAAAAGGTATTTTTTTGCATTTTATTTTCTGTATATGTATACTAGACTTCTTTATATTTGTACAAAATCCTAGACACTAAGAGCTATAACCCTTTATATGGCTAAAATTGATCAAAATTCAACATAAGTATGATCATATTTAAATTTAATGGATACTTACATAATAATTTTTATTTAAAAATTATGTCTTTTATTATTTAAAAAAATAATTTAAGAGTGGTTAGGGGTGATTTTAAATTTTCTTTTGAAATTATATGCCCAAATAATTCTAAACATATTTATAACTTTAATAGACTAAAAATTTCTATAATTGCATGTAATACAATCTTTAAAATATTAGAGCTAATTTTTAAATTCATGTATTAAATCACCAGAAAAATTTGAATAAATTTTGACTTTCATTTTATTTTTTCATAGGGGAATAAAAGAATAAAAAATTTTGTTGCAGAATTTTAGCTGTTAAAAACCTTTTTTAAGATTCTTTCAGGAATAAGATTTATTTGAAATAAATAAAATGCACATGTGTTGTGCTTTAAACAATCTGTTAAAACAAAATTTACTTAGCCTTTTTAACAGTAATAAATCATATAAAAAGTGAAAAATGGCCTGATTATTAGTCCAATAGGATCCATGTGCATGGTCCCACACTATAAATACATAATTTTCTGATGGTTAGTAATAACTAAGAATTCGACGACATATAAATTGGATTTTTATAAGTTATGAAATAACGAACTATAGAATGAGGAATTAAATTATTTAATTTTTTGATTAAATAATCTAAAAAATTATGGCGAATTTTATCAGCGTTTCAAGAAATGTTATATAATCTATTGAATAAGTGTCAAATAATAAATAGTAGATCGGATCGGGCCGATATTTCATATATTATAAAATATCGGTTACCGGCTAATATTAAATTTGCCGATCCGATCTAAAATAAAATGGCGTCTTTAACAAAAAAAGTTATAAATTTTTTTAAAAATGTTATATCTAAAATCATTTATTTTTATTAATAAAATCGAAATCTGTATTTTTTTAATAATAATAATTAATTAATAAACATTCTGCCATATTGTTATTTTTTTGCGCATTTCGTTTATAAAATTGTGCGATAATCTCTTCAGAATCTGTTTTTAGTAAGGCTGGTGATATTGACAGTTACCATCGCCACAGGCTGATTTCTGATAAATTGGAAATTTTGGTATTTCTAAAAAGAAATCTTCGATATATTAATGTTAAATATTATTTTAAATATTTATTCAAATTTCATAATATATTTGTTTATTACTTATTAATGTATATAGATTAATGTTGTTACTTATTATATAAAGTGATGGTTACTGCCACTCTCGGGCAGGGTTGCCAGATATTCTTCACTTGAAAACGTGAGTTTTTATTTTAGAATAATTAATGGGGAACTTCGCCCCCCCATCTCCACCAATTTGCGGGCCTGGCCCGTTTTTAACCGGCCTTCGGCCGGGGTAATTGATGTAGCATACTCATCTAAGTTATTATGTTATATTTAATGTAACAAGATTTTAAAAACAATGAAAATTTTTTATTGATTTACTAATAACAATTATGATATATAATTTTCTCATTAAATATAGCATAATATTAATTATTATATTTTATGGATGATTTTAAAAGAGGCAATAAAGATTTCCCATCGGCACTGTAGAGATAGGCTGAAAACTCTTTGCATAATTAGTTATATTTTGTTTAACTATAAATTCAGCTTCCAATGATGACGTTCTTTTCGCCAAGCAGTAATCATTAGACTGAATATTCTCTCTGATGAAGCATTTGGATGTGGAATAGAAAATATAAAATTGCATATTTTCTCTATCAATGGTGAGTTTTTATTAAAGAAAATCCATCCATTTTTCTTGGGTATTCATGTGATTGTGTTTTGATAATTTTTCTTCATAATAAGAATAAAATTGTGAATATTCCTCAAAGATAATTTCTGTATCTATGTTTGGTATTTTATAATTACTAATAATTTTTTTGTAATTGTTCTAATTCTGGACATTATTTTAATGTCATAGGGATAAGATATTTCCATATATTATCTATAATATCATAACGTTTTTCTACATACTATAATATTTTTTATAAATATCTTTGATTCATTTTTGAAATTTATTGCCTTTTCTACATCATTATTATGTTGTAAAATATTTTTAGAAATGCTCCTATAAAAATTTTGTTGAATTTTTAAATTTAATGAATTCTTTAGTTTTAGGATAAGATCATGTATATATATTGCTAATACATCTTCAGTTTGCAATTGTAAATTTATGTTATTGACTAAAGTGCCAACGTTAAGGACAACACCTAAATATGCCTCTGCAAAATCATCTCCAAAAATTATTTTCAAAATTGGTGGGGTTGCTGATAATGATAAAAAATATTCTTTAAGGAGTTGAAAATACTTAAGTATCCGCTTAATCGCTGGGATTAGTGTAAGCCAACGTGTTGGAACATGGCGAAATAAATCTGACCATTTTAAGTTGCACCATTCTACCAATTCTTTTAAAATTGTAACTCTTTTTGTCGAGTTGCTAAATTCATTATAGCATTTAATTACTATATTCTCAATATCATATTTAAGAAAAATTATGGCCTTTTTTAAACGAATTGTGAAGAATGTGGCATATACAATCCATTGGTATAATATTATTACTATGGCTTTTCAATTCTGTCCAAATACTTTAATTTTTCCCAAATTTTACAGATGCGTTATCTGCACAATAGGCCGATTTCAAGTTCAGCAAATTTTAAATTTTCTAGCAAGCATCTAGATATGTCTTTAGGGGTTTCACTGTCAGACGAAAAATTTTTAAGTAATTAAACATTTATTCCATTTTTTTTGTTGAAGTATCTAAGGTATTACCTTTATTCTATGCATCCATTAGTATTGAAAACGGATGATGTTTTTTAGATCTTTTATAATATTTGCCCTTAATTTATTTCATTTAAAATTTTACGAGTTTTAATATAAGATTTATAAAATCCATAAAAGAAATGTATAGTTATTTACATATTATAATTATACTTGATAAACTTTTTAAAAATTGAATTTCTGTTGTGGGTAATTGATCAATGAATATGATTGGTTAGTTGGACTATTAACAAATACTACAATTTTTTTAAATATGTTAAAATAAAATTAATTTAAAATTTTATATTTGTTTTTAAAAATATTTAAAGAAATTTAAAAACGTGAGAAAAAGTGTGAGACTAAGTGTGATTATTTTAATTTACTCAAAAAACGTGAGAAAAGCGTGAAGTGTGAGAAAACGTGGGTAAGTAAAAAATTAGGTATGAAATCGTGAGAATCACGGCTAAATCGTGACATCTGGCAACCCTGCTCTCGGGGGGTATATTATTTTTATTTTATTTTTTTTGTTATTTTTTTATGTTATTTTTTTTGTTATTTTTTTTATGTTATTTTTTTTATGTTATTTTTTTTATGTTATTTTTTTTATGATATTTTTTTTTATCAATTTTTTATTTTTAAGTTATATTTTTGAGAATTTTGCATACAAATTTAATTTTTTTTGTGGTAAAATATAGGAATTATTAATTCCGCATATTTAAGTTATATTTCGGAGAATTTTGCATACAAATTTAATTTTTTTTGTGGTAAAATATAGGAATTATTAATTCCGCATATTTAAGTTATATTTAGGAGAATTTTGCATACAAATTTTATTTTTTTTGTGGTAAAATATAAGAATTATTAATTCCGGATATTTAATTTATATTTAGGAGAATTTTGCATACAAATTTAATTTTTTTGTGGTAAAATATTTAAATTATTTTTATAGAAGAATTTTGCCTACAAATTATATTTTTTATTTAGGTCTACAAATTTGACCCCACCTTTGAAGTCTAAGTGATTTTTAGGAGAATTTTGCCTACAAATTTAATTTTTTATTTAAGATATTTAAAAAAGATTTTTCTATAAATTTTTATTTAAGATATTTTGAAAAATTTTTTCTACAAAATGCTGTATTAGGGGTAAAAAATAGAGGAATTCTTAATTCCGCATCGTTTATATATGGGGAGAATCCCTCTATTTTTTACCCCTAATACAGCATTTTGTAGAATAAATTTTTCAAAATATCTTAAATAAAAATTTATAGAAAAATCTTTTTTAAATATCTTAAATAAAAAATTAAATTTGTAGGCAAAATTCTCCTAAAAATCACTTAAACTTCAAAGGTGGGGTCAAATTTGTAGAACTAAATAAAAAATATAATTTGTAGGCAAAATTCTCCTATAAAAATAATTTAAATATTTTACCACAAAAAAAATTAAATTTGTATGCAAAATTCTCCTAAATATAAATTAAATATGCGGAATTAATAATTCCTATATTTTACCACAAAAAAAATTAAATTTATATGCAAAATTCTCCTAAATACAACTTAAATATGCGGAATTAATAATTCCTATATTTTACCACAAAAAAAATTAAATTTGTATGCAAAATTCTCAAAAATATAACTTAAAAATAAAAAATAACATAAAAAATTAACAAAAAAAATAAAAATAATATACCCCCCGAGAGTGGCAGTAACCAAAGTGATTTAACAATTATTTTATATACTTTTAGAATTGCAATAGAATTGAATATCTATAACTGATCATTATAATATATTTAAATGATATAAGTTATGGTATAATTAAATAGATGTTATACTAATAAAAAGTATATTACAAATTAAAATCATTGATATCTTTAGAGAATACAAAATTAGATATGATATCAGATCGGTAATCGGCCTATATCAATTTAATTTCGGGAATATCGGATTGGATCGGCCTCCAAAAAGTGATATCGGTACACCCCTAATAAATAGTATTCTTTTATTTTTAATTTATACAAAATAAAAGATTTAAAACTATTTTGCTAAGTTTCAAGAGAAAATTTAGCCAAAAAGCTAAATAAACCACATTATCACCCCCCCCCCACCTCTTAAATAATTTTTTAAATAATTAAATAAGGGACTTTCTAGACATAATTTAAAAAAAAGTTATTACGTAAGTATCGAATGTTAAATTTTGATCAATTATAGCCATATAAAGGGTTATAACTCCTAGGCCCACGTTCAGCTTAGTCTAGGATTATGTACAAATATAAAGCAGTCTGGTATACATATAGAAAATAAATTTGAAAAAAACCTTTTTTTTATTTGGCCATTTCCGGTTTTGTACTCCGGTTTCTAGTATTAATCGAGTTTGTATTACATTTATTCATGTCATATTAAGGATCTATTATTAAGCTATATAATAAAATTTAAATTGCTCTAACTTAATTTAATCTTGAGATAATTGAAAATTAATGAAGTGGGTTTTGTCAAAAATGATTTTTCTGCCCTTTAAACGCCCATATCACCGAGTGAGTGGTGTAGAAGTAGAATTTCATTTTTTTCTTAGTGTATATATATATATATACAAAATTTGAGGAATTCTGAGGGGGTAGGGTTTGATTTTATATGGAATTCAGTTTCTTGTATAAAACAAACTTATATCTTTATTTGAACAAATAGCAAAAACAAATTAAATATCAATATCAATTAATGAAATAATTTAAAGATGGAATATAAGATAATTAAAATTAGAATATTTTTTTATAAAGGTAAGAGTTTCAAGTTTATATGAGAAATGGTTTCGAGTGCTATCTATATCTAATGTTTTTAAGTGACTGATTTTTTAAAATGGCTATCTATATTTTATCCAGAAAAATATTACCCAAGTCTGATTTTGGTCATAGATGACAAAGGTTTGGACATCTATTAACTAAATCTCGAGGCTTATGAAATATTTTTCTGGCTTAAATATTGAGTTAGCCATTTTTGAAAATCAGCTCAAATTAAGTCATTTAACACCACTATCTATATCACCAACTGTGCTGAAGTCTGATTCTGTTAGAACACTTGCTGCAAAAAATGCTAAATATGTACGTGCAAGGTTTGTTGGAAACATTGAGCAACCATTTAGTAATCAAGAGGATCGATCGGAGATCTTACTTAATAAAAACAATGGAATAAACAATAGAAAAATAAGAATACACAAAAATTTAATAATTTTCTTTTATATTACTAGTTAATTATTGTACTTTACTTCTTCTATCCTTAAAAAAAATATAAAAAACATTAATCATTTTTATTTTATAAGACACTTTTTTATGAGAGTTATGAAGATTTTTTACAAGAAAGGGAAACTAAATAAAAATATGCATAAAATTGGTACCGATTAAATTTTTAGCAAATATCGGCCAATCCCATATTTTTCTAAAATTCCAATATCGGTACAGTTTTTTTAAATTAAACAAATGCTCAGAAATTTTCTATTTTTTTTGAGAATTTTTAAATGTAAAGAATTAAAAATAATATAATCTATAATACAATGACTTTTATTTGAAAATTTGCCATAAATGAATTGAACGCTAAATTTTGCGTTATTTTTTTCCCTAAATCAAATCATTAATAAATTATATTTTTATAATAATTTTTTTATAAACCTTATAAATATGAGTATATCTATTATAATCCAATTAAAAATATACCTATATTATTAGGTCTTAAGTAAATTATATAAATATGAATTTTAAAAAATCTGGGGTTTTCTTCCGGGATTCCAACTAGAGAGGCACCAATATAACCTTTTATGCTATATCAGTGGATAAAAAAATAATATTTTTATTATAAGATATACTTATTCTTCTTTTTAACAAAAATATTTGTTGATTATTAATTTAAGTCATAAAAATGCCTTACAATATTAATATATTTTATCTTGTTTATGCATTTTTTATGGAAGGTATATGAGTAATCTTTAAATAATGAATTAGGGCCTAAAAAAATTAGCATATTAATAAATTATATTTTTTTTATAAAATACTAATTTGTCTATACCTTATAAATATGAGTATATCTATTATAATCCAAAAAATATACCTATATTATTAGGTCTTAAGTAAATTCTATAAATATGAATTTTAAAAAATCTGGGGTTTTTTTCTAGGATTCCAATCAGAGAGGCACCAATATAACCTTTTATGCTATATCAGTGGATAAAAATAATATTTTTATTATAAGATATACTTATTCTTCTTTTTAATAATATTTTTATTATAAGATATACTTATTCTTCTTTTTAACAAAAATATTTGTTGATTATTAATTTAAGTCATAAAAATGCCTTACAATATTAATAAAAATTATAATCATCTATAGTGTTGTGCAGATTTAATTCAAAATATTTCCATATTTTTTAATTTATATATAAATTAAATTACTTGACTTACAAAAAATTGTAATTATTCTTTTTAATGTAAAATGAATTAGGGCCTAAAAAAATTAGCATATTAATAAATTATATTTTTTTTATAAAATACTAATTTGTCTATACCTTATAAATATGAGTATATCTATTATAATCCAAATAAAAATATACCTATATTATTAGGTCTTAAGTAAATTCTATAAATATGAATTTTAAAAAATCGGGTTTTTTTCCAGGATTTCAATTAGAGAGGCACCAATATAACCTTTTATGCTATATCAGTGGATAAAAAAATAATATTTTTATTATAAGATATACTTATTCTTCTTTTTAACAAAAATATTTGTTGATTATTAATTACGGATTTTTCCTTTAAATTTAGGTTTTAATTGGCTAAAATAATATATCTTTAGATGTTGAATTGATATTTTGATAATTACTTGCGTTGGTTATTTTTTTAGATGTTGAATTGATATTTTGATAATTACTTGCGTTGGTTATTTTAATTCCAATAAATTTGATTGTAAATCTTCTTAAAAATATAAAAAAAGATGGTGATCTTCTTAAAAATCGTTAATTAAAAAAAGATCGTTAATTAAAAATGGTTGATTATTAATTAATAAAACAAAGAAAATAAATTTAAACCAATAAAATAGATAGAAAATAAATTTAAACTAATGAAATAAGACCTTAATAAACCAATAAAAATAAAGATTAATTAGCCAATAAAAATATAAAATAATAGCAAAATAATAAAGTATATAAGAAAGATTATATTACAAAATTTAATATAGAAGATGGTTGAGCGGGAAGAACGCTTGCCTTTAAATCGTTAAGTCATGGGTTCGAATCAAAAAATTTTCTTAAAATTTAACATTAGAGAGATATAGTCTCCATCGATTTATTTAACATTAAGAAGATAGGAAAGTTGATAGGAAAAATTAAAATTAACATTAAGAAGATAGGAAAAATAAAAATTAACATTAAGAAGATAGGAAAGTTGATGAGAAAAATAAAAATTAACATTAAGGATATACGAAAATGTTCATTTCTTGATTACGGTGATTATATATATAGATAGTTAGTTTTGATTATAAAAAAATTTATGTAATAAAAATAAATATTTATGGTAATTTGTTTCATTAATCATTTCAATATTATCATCCCCAAGTCTAGAGTGACGATCAGAAAGTATAAGTTTTGCCTTATTAAATAATCTCTCGACACTAGCACTTGATGGTAAGGGCGTATTTAAGCTTATATACATATAATATAAGATAGATTATCAATAATTTTATTTGCAAGTACATCTTATGTCTGGCATCCTATTATCATTTTGAGGGCTAATGCCACAGATCTTCTTTTTAAAGTTCTAGGGTCTAGCCAATGGCCTGTGATTCCCAAATAAGCTCAAAAATATTTAATCAGATCAATTTATAAATATAAATAAGTTTTTACCTTCTGTTATGTGTTCAACTATCTCCCGTGCTACATATATATGATATCTCTGATAACTCTACTATTAGAGCATCTTTCATCATTTTAAAATTATCTGCTATTTTATTCATTAGTGTCTGGCGGCATAAAATTGTTGTACCAGGGGATAGAGTTTTAATTATCATGGTAAATGATGGATTATCAACTAAGGACATTGACTGAACTGTATAAATTATAAAATCAACAATAACTTTATCAGCCAATTTCTGAGAAATATTGTCATTTGCATTATTAATTAATTTGGTTTGAATTGAATTAGTTTTTTTGGAGGTAGAGTCGCCTATACCAAAATTATTAAGATGTTTCTCAATTTCCTTAAACTCATGAACAGTCATATAAAATAAATATTATTAGAATGTAAAAATGACAATTTACCTTTAGGTGTTTCTTGAGGTTATAGCTACTGGATTGATTTGAGGAAATATTTTTTTTTACATTTAAATAAATAAATTTGAAACCAGTTTTGGTTATATATTTATTTAAAAAAAATTTCAAATCTAGGTAATGGGAAATTTGTATTATAGCTATTAAGAACATTTTCTTCCCTGGTATCTTCCATTTCATTAATGTCATTGTCTGAATCACTTTCAACGATTTAGATATTTATAGGCGATGACATTTTAAATTATTAACACGTGATTTAGGTTTATAATACAAATGAAAATATAAATTACAAATTGAAATTATATTTTAATTTCAAAATTAAATAATAATCATAAAAATTATAATTAATTATGATATTATATTTAAATTTTCATGTTTACACTTACCTTCATTATATTTTTTTAAAAGTAGCGAAGTAGCGGCTACTTAGCTACTTTCAAAAAAAGTAGCGCGCTAAAAAATTAAAAAATTACAAAAAAAGTAGCCGCTATTAGCTATAGCTACCAAAAAAGTTAGCGTGCTACTTTAACAACTCTGCCCAATACAAAAGAAAAAAAAATATAAACCAATAAGATAAGAGCCTAATAATAAACAAATTAATGTTAATTACTTTATCAAAATATAGTTTCATACATAAGAATTGTAATAGAAAATTTAAGATAGAAAGGGGCTGAGTGAAAGAACGTTTGCTTTTATAAAGTTAAGTCAGTGGTTCGAATCTCTTTGATGTATAAAAAAAATAATTTAACATTAGAGGTATATAATCTCCTTCGATTTATTTAACATTAAGATGATTAGGAAAGTTGATAGAAAAAATTAACATTAAGATGATAGGAAAGTTGATAGAAAAAATAAAAATTAACATTGAGATTATACGAAAACGTTTATTTCTTAATTACCCTATTATATATTTAGATGAATTAATCTTTAAATCATTAAATTGCAATTTATAATGATTTCAGCAAAAAGACTTTTTAAATCAATTATTCCTATTAAATTCTCTTGATTTTCCACAATAAATATACCAAATAATTAAACTCACATTTTCACAACCTACTCCATTAAAACATCTCACTTTTGTTATAAATTTTGTAATAGATTTTAACATCATTTCTACCATAATAGATATGAATTCATTTTGAATTTGAGATGATGCGTATTGCATGAAAACATTGCAACAAAAAGTCCTGACGAATAAATTATATTTTTATCTACAGCAACAGTCCTATTGTAGTTAAGAAGACCCACAAAAGGGGAACTTTTGTATGCTGAGAAATTGTATCAAATCAAATCTCGATTTCAAATAATATCGACTACGCTCAATTTGATAGTTCATTAAAATTGTCGATATTTCTGTATACTTTTTTATATACGATTATCGAGCCATATTGGATATAAATGATCTTTAGAGATTTCATGTTTTAGCAGCTATATTTTTCTAATAATTTGTTTTTTAATTTAGATTTAATGGTTAATGGCAAATGAAAATTTAATAACAAATATTTGTTTCGGCCCATTTTTGAGGGCCAAAAGAAATTCAGGCCAGGTTTAGAGGTCAGAAAATTTGGTGACTACTGTCCTGCACCAATCTTTATCATATTACCCTCCCTAAAATTTTTGGAAAAAGTTTATTTTAAAAAAAACTGACCAAGACAACAATAGGTGGGCATAAATCACCAATGAAATTTACTAGGTAAAAGCTTTTAATTGCCCTACTCTCTTCAGATTTCTGGCTTTAAAAATTCTATTTATATGTCATTGTGTTGAAGTAGCCTTATGTCTCGAACTTATTATTTTATTTAGCCTAAATAGTTATTTCGGCAACTCTTTATTTTAGTTTTTAAATTCGTTTTAAATCTTGTTATTTTCTTGAACTATTTTAAAATCACTGGCATATGACGACATGCTTGAGCAACTTCACACAGAACAGGAATAAAATATAATCTACAACCAAACAACGGGAGAAAAATCCCCAGGATCATATCAAATCAATCACTTTACAACCCGACCTTATCAGATTTTGCGAAAATTTTAGGGCTGTAATTGACAAATCCAAAATATTAGCCCCTTACTCTACTAGAACCGGAGATATAGGGTCTAAAGCGGATCTGCTTGGGCATTTTTCGAAAAAAATGGTTTTTTAAAATTGGGATAACTTTAATATTAGACGCACTATAGATATCTATCATGACTCATTTAATAGCCCTAAGTAAACTCTTACACATATTTTGAATTTATAAAAAAAAATTTAAATTGCAATTAATTTTTTTAAATGTTAATATAAATTTTTTTTCCCAAATTTCAGATATTTTGTAAAAAGTATCAAGAATTGTACATATAAAAATTTTTAGAGTGGTTAAAAAAAGTTAAGTAGAAATAATTCAGAAATTAAAAATAGCGCTAGATGGCGTTAATAATTTTAAAAAGTTTAAAACTTAATTTTTAAAAATTTAAGTCAATCTTCCATTTTTTATATTCCACAATATAATAATTGTTGAATATAATCGCATTTTGGAACAGAAATAAAATTTCCGCTAGATAGCGCAAGTAATTTAAAAAACTAAAAACCTCAAGATGTTTTTATTTATTCGATAATATTACTTATAGTATAGAAGCTTAGTTATATTGATTTCCTTATATTTAATTTGTATATGACCATGATTATTCACGAGCTAAATTATAAATTTTTCCTGTATTGGTTAAAAGGTTGTCGGCAGTTAGGATATCATTTTTCGGAAGAATAAATCAGGTATTGAAGGATAATAAAAGGAATTAGAAGGTCCACTAGGGTGTAAAAATATTACCTTTACCTCATCAGTGCTAATCAATTCATATTTTTAAAAATATTATATTATAATAATTTATATAACGCCATCTATATTATCCTTTTTTATTTATATTAATAATAAAAATTCAAATAAAATTAAAAAAACAAAAATGGCTATCGAGGTTTTTTATTAGTTTAATATAAAGGTAATAAACATTTTTAGAGAATATCAACACCCAAAAAAATCCCTTCCTAACAATGTTAATTTTTTATTTTTACTGGAATAAGAAAACACATGGAATTTTTTTTTCTCGATATTTTCTAATGTTAAATTTTAAGGGCTATGAAATGATATGTAATTTGTAACTCTATCTTAAGTATTTTTTAGGATTTAATGAAATCACGCTATGCGATTTTCGACTTTGAAGGTGTATATCTTTGGATCTGGTTGAACTAGCACTTTTGAATTTACTAAAATATACAAAATAGATAAGTATCATGCCAAGTTTCGTTCATTTTAAAGATGGTCGCGCTTTTTTAGTCAATTTGACGTGGAATGACCACATTATTCTAGATCACTAATGTTGCTATTACCGTTGCTTGGAAGGGAATGTTTACAAGCTATTTTGGCAATATATGAATGATGTTTGCCGATTATCTTTAACTTAAATCTCATTCTATGCATTTCTATCATGCTAAAAGTTTTAAATATCTAATTAAAAATTGTAATAATGTTGTACAATCGAATTTAAATATTCTGAAGCAATTTTAAGATTTTGAAATCTTGGATCAAGTAGTTTTGCTAATATCTAAAATATAATTTTATAATAAAAATATAAAATAAATTACCTGAAGTTCGGTAATAAGAAACTTATGGTCAAGCTTTTTTGCATATTTTTTTTAGGCAAATGATATGTGCGCAATCAGATTTTTCACTGTGAAATAATAACTGTAAATTTATTGTTGATCTCTTTAGGGAAGAAAGAAATTCCACTGACACTAAGTGAATTCAATTATATCCCATTCGTTATTAAAAACTTTTAAGGATTATTTTCCAATTTTACTTATACTGTTATTTATAGGAATCTTGTTAGCACTACGGATACTTTCTAGATAATTAATATGTTGTGTCATCTGGTAGGACAATTTAATTTTTAAGTTTTTGTATTAAGGTCTGTTGGTGCAATGTAATTTATATAATCAGCCTCACCAGAGATATCAGAATGTTCATCAAGTATATGATTAAAGAGCATTCTAACAAGCCACACGCCACCATAAATAAAATTGGCTGTGAGCCTGGTGCGCCGTTCATGTCAATCGACGGCATTTTCAGCCTGAATAAAATTGCCGGCGGCGCACAGGTCTATTCTCTAGTAATTATCACCATATACTTAATTATAAATAAATTAATATAATAATAAAAGGATAACTTGAATTTATGGTGGAAATCGACAAAATAAAGTTTTTGAAACCTAATGGAAATTTATATTATGCAGCAATTAATGAGGAAAGAGAAATTGAGGAAGATTCAAATTATAGCTCTGTTATATACAATTCATTTTCAAAATATTCAATTCAAAAACAGTGTGAGAGTCTTCCTATATATTCATTTAGGAGAGATATATATGATGCACTTGAAAATTACCAAACTATCATAATAGTTGGGGAAACAGGTTTTATATTTAATTTTCATTTTTAAATGACTATGTAGGGTCATTCCATGACAAATCAACCACGATTATGCCGACCCCCTTCGAATTTTTTAAAATTTGGTAAGCAAAGAAAGGTTATTGTAGTTAAGAAATAGCCAAAATTTTGGCCTCCTAACATTTATATTTTTGGAGATATTAGGGTTCAAAGTGGCAAAAATGACGTATTTTTACCATTATCTGCCTCCATTCAATTAAGCATAACTTAAAAACTACGTAATTGTAAATAACAAAATTATAATCAAAATTACCTAGAAAGATTCTACTTTCAAGATAAAAAAAATTTTTATATTTTTTTTCCAATTTCCGGTCATTTTATTTTATAAGCAAGGACTAAAAACGATTTTTTGGAAATATTCCCACCTTCAATTTTTATAAAATTTAGTAGACATTATTTAACTCTTCCTTTATATTTATAAAAAAAAATTGGTCTGGGACGCGGCCATCTTCATTCTCAAAATCGATAAAAATGTTTAGAAAAGTGTATAAATTTGTATGAAATTATATATTAATCAGTTTTTAATGGTTTTTCTTGAACTATTTGATATAATTTAAAGGATTATTCATCTTGTAAGTTAAAATAACGATAAATGGGGCTTTTATTCAATTATAGAAATTGTCTATCGATAAAAGAAATTCAATTTGTTACTTTATTTATAATTTATTATAAATTTTTTGCCCATATAACATATATTTAATGAATATTAATAAAATATGTCCAACCAAGTTTCGACTTCTTGAATATATGAAATCTTGTGCATTTCATATATGACGCCAAAAATAATATCAAAATTTTCGCTACTCAATTTTATTTTTAAAATAATTTGATATTTGTAAATTATTACAAATATTTATTCTTATTATGAAATTATTATATACAAAATAAAAGTATTATCATCATAAAATAACCCAAATCAATATAAATATTGGATCGGATTTTCTAAAATCGGCATATTGACAAGTGTCAACACAACGCGAATAAATAGAAAGATTGTTTCGTTCTAAGGACATCAAATTTATAACATACAAAATGGCTATCCGTAGATAGATCCACTATTGAAACAATAACCAAGCCAGTAGATGAATTTATCAATGACTTTTTTTTAAAAATGGAATCTTTATTTCCCCATTCTTTTATTTCAACGCAACAATCGTTGTATTGCGAAGGCCAATATATTTTATGTGATTTTTAGAAAACTATAGTTTTATACTTCAGGATGATGTACAAAGTTATAATTGGAATAGGGCACAATTCACTGTTCACCCTTTTGTTATATATTATAAAGATAATTTTGCCAATATTTGTTGCCTAAATTATCTAATGATATCCGAATCTTTGCAACACAATACAATAGCAGCACATTATTTCCAAAAAACATTGGTAAATTTTTTAATTAATAAAATTTGTATGCCAAATAAAATTTTTTATTTATCCGATGGATCCGCTGCACAGTATAAAAATCGTAAAAATTTTATTAATATTTGCCATCATGAGATGGATTTTGAGGTACAGACGGAATGACATTTTTCTGCTACAGCACACGAGAAAAGTGTTTGTGATGGGATTGGTGGCACTGTTAAAAGATTAGTCTCTAGAGATACTTTACGAAGGCCTTACACAAAGCAAATAATCACATCATATGAATTGTACGAGTTCGCTAAAGAAAATATTTATTGCATATATTTTGAATATATGACCCAAAAAAAATTATTCCGAAGAACTATTCTCAGGGAAAGATTTTCAAACTAGACCTATACCTGGAACACAGAAAATTTACACCGAGTTTCCAACAGGTCTACATCAATTTAAAAGTAAAATGTATTCCAATTATATAGAAAGCACTATTGAATATTTATCTATATTGATGAAAGTATAATATTTGGACAAATATCAGAATACATACGTGTGTTTATGATTCTAATTGGTGGTTAGCCTTTGTTTTAGGTAAAAATCAAAGCAGGAAGAAATATATAAAGTTTTACACCCATCTGGATTTCAAATACCTTTACATTTCCAAGTATAGACGACACTCTTTACTTTCCAAAATGTCATATCTTAACATTAGTTTTACCGTTAACCGCTACTGGCCGTAGTTATACATTGTCGTCACAAGAAAGTAAATGCGCTACCGAAAAATTAGAATCTTTTAAAAGTGAGTTATATATTAGATTTTTAAATTTATATTATATCAATTATTTTTAATATTTAAGGGGCCATATATGAAATGCACAAGATTCTGATTCATATATATGATTTATTAATATTCATTAAATATATGTTATATGGGCAAAAAATTTTATAATAAATTTGAATTTATTTTATCGATAGACAATTTTTATAATTGAATGAAAGACCCATTTATTATTATTTTCACTTACAAGATGAATAATCCTTTAAATTATATTAAATATTTCAAGAAAAACCATTAAAAACTGATTAATATATAATTTTATACAAAGACGCCTCCTTTCGGGAAAATATTTATACATTTTTCTAAACATTTTATCGATTTTTAAAATGGTCGACCAATTTTTTTTTATAAATATAGAGGAAGAGTTTAGTAATGTCTACTAAATTTTTTTTAAAAATAGAAGGTCGTATTATTTCCAAAAAATCGTTTTTAGTCCTTGCATATTAAATAAAATGACCGGAAATTGTAAAAAAAATAAAAAAAAATTTTTTTATCTGAAAGTAGAATCTTTGTATTTAATTTTGATATTAAATTTGTTATTTACAATTACGTATTTTTTAAAATATGTTTAATTAAATGAAAACATAATGGTAAAAATACGTCATTTTTGCCACTTTGAACCCTAATATCTACAAAAATATAAATGTTACGAGACTAAAATTTTGGCTATTTCTTAACTACATTATTAACCTTTCTTTGATTACCAAATTTTAAAAAAATCGAAGGGGTTCGGACGAAAATTTCATTTTTTTTGCATATTTGACATGGAATGACCCTATAAGAAGATATTTGGATTAATTATTATATTGCATAGGCGATCTTTAATTACATCTTTAGATTCGCTTAAAACCTTTCACTTTTCCAAACCAATTCTATGTTATTGTCTTTCCACTTTAGCCCCTTCCCCCATCATTGACCTGCTATATTTACCTTTTAGAACCTAGATGTAATATCAATGCATAATTAATTAGGGCTGTGCCGACCGACCAATTAATTTTCATTAATGATTACGTGTATTTTGCTTCTTCTTTTCTCCAAAAATTATTCATCTCATTTAAAATATGAGCAATGTTTATAGCTGAATGTAGTATTGCTAAACGGCTCGACTTAGCCAGAGCCAAAGTAATATTTTCCAAATTTTGCCAATAGATCTCCAAATTTTTCTGTCATCTTTGAGCAAAATCTCGGGTAATCTTATTTTGGCTATAATCTTGAGGTAGCCGTTTAAAAATCTGTAAATCGAATCGTTACTCGCTGAATGTGACTCGTTAGATATGTTTAAATCCTTTTCTTGTTTCGGATAATATAATAAAAAATGTCAAATTTTTAGCCCCTTATCTTTAATAATTTTACATTTTTTTAAACATTACAAATAAGTTGAATATTAGTTCTTTTTATTAATATATTATGAAATTATATATAAAATTAAAAAACATATATAAATATATATCAGAAACCTGCAGAGGTACCATTTAATTGGCCCTGTTCAGATTTTTTAAAATATAATTTATTTTTTATTTTTATAGCTAAGTGTGGCGATTTAAAATATTTGGCTTTAAAATATACGGCCCGACCCGGGTATTTTTTTTAAAAAATTTATTTAGGCCCGGCCCCTCCTGGGTATATTTAATAAATAAAATTTGGCCAATGCCGGGCCTGCAGGCCTCTGATATATATACAATCATAAATATGATAAAACTATTGAATCGGATCTGTTTTTTTTAAAGATTTTGGCCCGATCCGATATTTTTCAAAAACTTTAAATATCGGCACAGCCCTACAATTCGGCATTTCCTTATTATGCCTTAGGCTGAATTTACAGATCATACGATTCAACTTAATGCGATGTAATTGAACAGCTTATATAAATACGTGATGCACACTTCACACCCGAGGGTGATGAAATGCATTGGCTGATAATGAATTAATTTGTTTTAATTCCAATCATAACAATACAAGGATTAATTTATTAATAAAGAGATATTAAACTATTAAAAGAACTCGCAGCTATTAAATTGTATCGCGTCTACTTGAATTCAGCCTTAGGCATCGTTTACAAGCACGCTTACTATTAAATGAGGCGTTTGTACGAATAATAATTATATACCAAAAGACCACAGTACCAGTTTTTTAGTAGTAATAGAATTTTAAAATATTTTCCAATTGCTCTTTTATATTACACTCGTATTACTTGGTCGATCCTAATTTAAATTTACAATATTTTTGATATCAATGAATTATTATCTTTTCACTTAGGAAGTGGCAAAACAACTCAACTACCTAAGTATTTAATTGAATGGGGATGGACCGATTATATAAACGAAAGTAATAAAATGAAAATTTGTTTGGTTCAACCTAGACGGATAGCTGTCATAAAATCGGCGGCGAGGATAGCCGAAGAATACGGCGTTGTGTTAGGTCACCAAGTTGGTTATGTTATTCGATTCGAAAGTTGTTTTGACTCAGAAAAAACCAAAGTAAAAGTGGTAACCCGTGGTATACTTCTACGTGAAATGTTGAAAGACCCATTGCTTTCGGCCTATAGCATATTGATATTGGGTACACACAAGTTTTATAGTGCATATTTTTTTTAATAATTCATATGCAGATAATTCTAATAAAATTTACCTGTTATTTTAGATGAAGCTCATGAAAGATCCGTCGAAATGGATATCATATTCGGGTTAGTTAGGAAGGTATTAAAAAAAAGGCCGACTTTTAGACTTATTATATCGTCGGCAACCTTAGATGTGAAAGATTTGGTGCAGTATTTCGATCTAAAAAATGAAAGTTTGGATTCGAAATCAGATATATCTACTTTAACTACTATAAATGTTAAGTATAAAAATTATTATACGGAAATCTATTATTTGCAAAAGTATTTACACATTATTTTATTTTTTTATAATTGATTTAATTGACATTTTATCAGACCAATTATTGACTATATTGAAGGTTCAGTTTTAACCATATTAGATATACTACGTAATACAAAATATGGAGATATTCTTGTATTTTTGCCTGGCAAAGACGAAATTGAGAGATGTATGATTAGCCTAAAGTAATAATACTAAGAGATATCCATTATTCATAAATTATTTTAGTGATCATATAGATAAATTTAATGGCAGTGAAAAAAATAGCAAATTAAAAAGTTGTTTTTCTAACTTATTGATTTTTCCCTTGTTCGCATCTTTGCCAGATAAAGACCAATATAATGCCCTGGAACCAGCTCTATCTCACAAACGAAAATGCATAATTTCAACGAACGTTGCCGAAACTTCTCTAACTATAAAGTAACCCATATTAAATACATATTTTAAAATATATTTCTTCACGGAAATGCATTATAAGAGCTAGTTTTAAATAAGGCACCTCAATTCACTTTATGGGTAATTGGGTAAAATAGTGTGGCATATGACTCTTGTTTGTTTAAATTATTTAAATTTAAATTATAAAGGTTAAATATTTAGGCTACGTCCTAGGTTTTTATTTTTTTCTGAAGAATTCTTAATAGAATTTATAGAATTGAATATATGATAATATATTTTAATTTAGCATCAATATTATATAAATTAAATTATAATATGGAGATAAACATGTTACTCACAATTTTAAAAATTATTTTTATGGTTGCATGTCAATACCGCTAAAGTTTTATCGAGAATCGCTAAAAGTTATAGCGAATACATTACCGCGAAATTAATACCGCTATTTCATTTGCGCGAAGATATTATAGCAAATGCATTAGAGCTAATGCATTATTGCGAATATATTACCTCGAATGACTTATCGTGAATGATTATCTCAAATTGCATCAGCTAAATAGAATTTTCTAGGATTAAAGTAAAGGAATTAAATTTTTATATTAATTGCTTAAAATGTGTTATTATATTTTTCAAATAAATTTAAGACAGGACAAACTAAGGTCTAAAATAAATATATTGCTGGGCTCGGGCCTATAATTAAATAAAAATTTTGGATGGAATTCGGGCCAAAAAAATTAAATTTGCAAGGCGCTACGAACGAGTTTTATTTAAAACATTGAGCCAAACAGATAATTGATCCTCGGAAATCTTTATCATTATTCTTTGTAAACGTGATTTAATTAGTGAGGGATTTAAAGTTATTTCGATATTTTGTCAGTATGAATATAAATATCTATCAAAGCACAGTGTATATAATTCAAAAGTGATAATTTAGACTATTTTTTGATAAGAAATTTATAAGTTCATTTATCACTTAATCAAAAAGAAAAGGCTTATTTATGTAATCTCTGATGATTAAATTGCTACTATATTGTGACTCAGGAATTGGGAAAACAATAGAATAATAATTTCCTTAATTGATTCTTGTTAAGGTGTTGCTTCCTGGCAAGTCCTTTTTCTACCTATGTGATTAAAGAAACAATTCCATATAAAAGGATATCGATCAAAATTAATATAAATTTATCTAAAATTGAATGAATTGAGCATGCATCGCATCATTTATCATTTTAAAAATAACAAACTCCTTAAAAGAAGAGCAAAACCCATTGAACTAGGTAAATATCACTTTTATTTTATTTTTATATTTATCATTTTATTATTATCTAGATAAGCATATCTAAGAAGACAATTATAAAACCGAGTTTTTAAAATAAATTATAGTATATTTTCAGTATAGTTGCTATATTTTTATTGATCTGGTGACTATTATAAATTTTAATAGATTGGTGAGAATAGTGATTGTACATTATACATCATCATTTTGGTCTTAAGATGAGAAAATTTGAGTTCAAAACATATTCATGGAATAGAATATTTACAGTGTAAAGGCAATCTTTGTCCTCACAAAACAATCCCATATACTTCGAGGAGTAGATGTACAACCCTAAAAAACCCACCGGATTAAAAGGACTTTTGTAGAAAGATTTAAAGCAAATTTTTAAAAGCATAGACGGATATAAAATTTATTAAACAAGTTGAAGCAAACTTATATTATCATTTATGATTCAACCTTTTAACAGTAGAAAGCAACTCGGCCTATAAAAAAATTTCATTAGCTAAGTAAAATATATTTAGTGTGGGTCATGAAAATCCTTATGTTATGCTGAATCACGACATGAGCATACTAGGGGCTAGTTGGATAAATTATTTTTTGCTTAATGATATAATAAGTAATTATTGGCTACTATTATAGATTTAATTCAATTCTATATGATAATCAATAGAATTAAGAAAAAATAAAAAAATTCATTAAAATTTTACACTTTTTAAGAATTTTAAATATGTCATATTAATAAAATATTGTCCATGAAAATAATGGAATAATATATTAATTATCCTATAGGAGACTTAATAAATCAATTGAATCTACAAACCGTTGGTTTTGGGCTTTTTGCGGCAAAAATTTACTTTTACTATGAATCTGGAGGAAAAAGTATAAAATATTTATCAGAGACCTGCAGAGGTGCCATTTGTAGGGCCCGGCCCGGATTTTTTTTTAAAAATTTTTTACAGCCCGCCCCCCGGGTTTAAAAATTTTAGGCCCGGCCCGGCCTGGATTTAAAAAAAAAATTTTTAGGCCCTGCTCGGAATTTTTTAAAATTATATTCAACCTGGTATATAAAAAAAAATTCATTATTTCGTATTTTATCATATTTTTCTGCGAGTATTACCATTTAATAAGCAAGTATATTAGCTAATGTTGTTAAACGGCTCGTTTTGAGCCGATTTTTAAAAACGGCTAACTCAATATTTTAGCCAGAAAAATATTGACTAAGCCTCGAAATTTTGATACATATGTCTAGACCTTTGCTCCTTCTATGAGCAATCAGGCTTGCATAATATTTTTATGGATAAAACACTGAGTTAGCCGTTTTTAAAAATCGACTCAAAAGAGCCGTTTAACAATACTAATATTTTATTTTTTTTATTCTAAACAGATATTTAGTATATTACAAATTGATACTATAAAAAATTTGTGTAAATAATATTTTGAGAATATACTATGTATTTATAAAAAAAATAAAAATGATATTTTAATTAATAAAAAATATAACATATATTATATATTATATAATAATGTATTTAATCCTTTGCGTATTTATTCCATGGCAGGAAAACTATAATTTTATTATGTAATAGATACTATGAGTGTTAGGTGTTAACTTTCACCAAACTTATAACCATATCTAATTGACGAATATAATAATTCATGTATAAATTTTTTAAAAAAATACGGCTCGACCCGGCCTGGGTATTTTTAAAAAAAAAATTTCAGGCCCGGCCCGGCTATATTTTAAAATTTTTAAAGGCCGGCCCGGGGGCTTAGGGCCGGGGCTGCAGGTCTCTGATATTTATTAATGTATAAATTCATGTGTTTGTGCTATCTCATGGTATATTATAAATTTAAATACAACAATTATTTTCAGACTTAGAATGATTTTGACAAAAATTGCAGGAGTGGCCCTGGTCTATACTATTGGATGAAAGTTAATCATGAGATCAAAAATTTATTAACAATTATTTACCTTGTGTCACGTCGCGTTTTGAAATCTTAACACTAAAACGCGTCATTTTTATGAAATTTCCTATTTTATTGTGTATCCTAATATTCTCGAAATATTTAAAATTTTATAAATCGGTAAAAAAATTTAGCTGGACGCTTGCCTTTTTCAAAATTTTACTTAAATTATAATATAAAATATTTGAGTTATCAAACAAATTTCATTATTAATTGCCTTTTATTAACAATATGAAAAGTCATAAGATAATTTTGTAAATTAAAATATTATCAAGAAAAGATCTGATAATGATAAAATTATGCCATGAGAAAAAAAATGGAACGCGAAAGTTTGATTTCTGACTAGGAAAAATTGAAATATTCGTCTAACGAGATTTAATATGACTTCAAAATTTGGGTTTTATATACCGAAAAATTATCAAGTAATAGACTGCTACCTTTTGAATCTTATACAAGCTTGAAAATAATTGGTTAAATGTGGCCCTTAATTTCGCAAGAAATAATCAAATTGGCGTTGATTGTTGTGTGTGTTATACAAGAAAAAATGGATATATAAACATTACATTGATTATATTTATTATTTTAATAAACTAATTCTATAAAATCTCAAGGTCTGCTTTGTGTTTTGCATTATCATTTATATATAAGAGAAAAAAATTTAAAAAGGGCCAGTGTCGGGCTACACCAACATAACGGTAACACATCAGCCCATTTTTGAATAAATAGAAATAAATGAAGGTCTTAAGTTATTTCTTGTCAATTTTAAATAATTATTGCCTTCGCTATAATGCATTCGCGATATGCATCGCTGTAATACATTTACGATAATACATATGCTGTATTATTTTCGCTGTGTATTTACGATATTAATTTTACGGTAATACATTCGCTCTAATTCATTCACGGTAATGCCTTCGCTGTAATGCATTCGCGATAATGTTTTCGCAGTGTATTCACGATAATGCATTCGCGGAAAAAGTTTCGCAATATTGACATATGACTTTTTATGTACATGTACAATTTGAACACTGCTTTGGAATTTAAATTGACATTGTCATTTTAATACATATCAGTTAAAAAATCTAGTCTTAAACGTTAAATTCTGAAAAGTTCGTATTTTTATTTTGAAAAAAATGTTATTGAGAATGTTAGTCTTTTAAATATAAGAACATCAAGGAGACCAACCCTCTATTTTCTAAATAAGAACACCTTTCTATTCGGATAAATAATAAGAAAACTTTGAATGCAGCCAAAACTAATTATGGAATCCATTCTATAAATTATTTTTAATAAAGCAAAATATTATACTTGTTTATTTGATCCTAACTTATTTGTGTTTGTGAATGATTAAAATTTAATTTTTTTGAAAAAATATTAGTGGTATAGTTTATGTGATCGATTGTGGATATGAAAAGATAAAATTTTTCAATAATTATTTCTCGCTCGAAATATTGGGGATTCATGCCATATCGAAAGCTTCTGCCATACAGAGAGCTGGAAGAGCTGGCCGAACAAGTGACGGAAAAGTCTTTAGACTATATACTGGTAGAAATTTTTTTTTTCATCTAGTTTGATAGATATTTTCTTCCCTAAATATCTTATTCCACCCTGTCCAAGGCCGCTCTGGAGCCAACTAAATCGAGGTGAATAATCAGCTAAAGGTGATTTTTGACCTTAAACTTGACATCTGGTTAAGCTGACTCGATTTAACTATTTAAGAGCGATATTAGAAACCTGCAAAGGCCAAAATTTTAGGCCCGCCCTATAAAAAAAAATTGACCCGGAATTTAATTTAGTGTTATTTTCCAGCTCGACCGGGAATTTATAGAATTTCGTTATTTTGAAATTGTTACAACAGGAAATTGAATATATGAGCAATAAATGAATATTAAACACCTCATTTATGATTTTCCATCTGACAAATTGATATGGGTTCTGAGCTTGCAAGTTTCTATTTTATTTTTGGTATCGGCCTATACCGTGTTAGTATTGGCTTTAAAAGTGGTATCAGTTCATCTCTGCGATAATATTAAAACTTAACGGACCAATAGTTTTTTATTTTTGAAATTGGTAATCCTTGGGGCGATTATCGAATTTTTTTTTTTTTAATAATTAATATTTCTAGAGAATTATGGACATTCTTCCTAGCTCTAAAATTATATAATGCACAAGCTTTGCTGTCCACTTAACAAGATAGTTATTTATATGATTTCAATTTAAATCATTGTTTCTTTAAACAGAACAAACCTATGAAAATTTACGCGAGACTTGTATTCCCGAAATTCAAAGATGCGATCTCGTTTATCCTATACTTCAACTAAAATCTTTTGCCATCAACATTATCTCATTTAATTATATATCACAGCCTCCTGCTAAAAATGTGATGAGTGCCCTCGAAACATTGTACTTTTTAAAGGCTATTGATGAAAATGGTATAATCATATTATAAGTTTTGATTTCTTAAATTTATTTTAGGAATGCTAACGCCTAAATATGGAAAATTAATGACCGAATTTCCATTTTCTCCAATGTTTTCTAGAATGATTTTAAAATCCCTTGAACTTAATTGTGCCTGTGAAATTATATATATAACATCGATGTTGCAGGTTTAAAATCAATACTATTATAATTATTTTTATGGCATGGTTATTCTCATTGTTTATAAATTTGTGCCTTTTGGAAGAGATATTAATATAGTGTTGTTAAGTGTTAAAATGCTTTGATCGTTTGTTATTAAACAGTAAAATACACCAGTAATATTTATATTTTATACATTAGCTTAAAATATTTACCCATATTAAATGATTTAGTTATTAAATGTTTTTTCCTTAATTATATTTCTTAGCTTTCTTTTTTAGATAAAAAACGTGTTTATCAATAATCCGGCTAGGCGATTACAGGCGGAAACTAAGAAATTATGTAATTTTGCCGTTAAAGAAGGTGATCATATAACTTATTTAAACGTATTTCGCGGATATTTATCGGCCCTTAGTAGGGGTAAGGATATAGCATTTTGCAGAGAAAGTTATATTAATCAAAAGGGCATGCGCAGAGCTTATCACATATACAAACAGCTTACAAGGCATATTTTATCTCATCGTCAGGATTTCTTATCGGGCTCCGACACTGAGAAGGACATTATTAGTTCATCGCTTGATGAATTGGATAAGAATATTAATGGTTAGACAAGAAATATCAATTATGCAAAAAACAATTTATAGTCATGTTAACGTTAACTATATCAAAATTAATAAGTATTTACAATAGACATAGATACCAGGCTTAAGCTATATATTTTTTAGCAATTGTTTCATAAAGGTTTTCATATTTTATCAGCTATATTATTTAATATAATGTTTTCTAATTTTTATATTAGACGAAACGAGTATCGACAAAAATTTTAACGTTTTACCAAATACCGAAACGCTTATTAAATGTATAATTGCAGGATTTTTTCATAATGTCGCCTACTATCATATCTCAGGAAATTATAAAACTGTGAAAGATGATTATGGTCCTCTCAAAATACATCCCGATTCCGTTATATGTTCCCAGAACCCACCTCCAAAATATGTTATTTTCAATGAAATATTATATTCCTCTAAAGCTTCTAACGATGTATTAAATATATATATGTACGATATCGTTTCTCTTCCTCCAAATGCATGTACTTTGCTGTCACATGAAATTCCCGAATATTTTTTATTTGGAACCCCCAATCAAAGACACGAACTTCAAATTAAATTCCAAGATGAAATCATATAATAAAAATTTAGTATAATGATGCATTACAATTAAATTTGTTATTCGAAATGATTTATAATAAAAAAATTTTTAAATTAAATCTCATTTGGAAAGTGAAAAATTTGTCATTTATCTGTTTTCAACTCAAAAGTCGCATTGTTTTATGTTTTTTTCTTGTCTAAACAATATATTTGGCGAGATATTTGTGAACAAAAGTTATCTAAACTAATTACTATTTTACAACTAGCAAAGATTACCCAATCATAGTAATTATTTGGCTTAAAATTGCTTTAGATGAGATTACGTTTCTCAACCATTATATTTTATGTCTTGTGAAAATAGTTTCGCAAAAGTTGCGAATTTAATTGCAATAGAGTGTAATAGACATTTTAGGTGACTTAAAGAAAGCAATTATCTGTTATGATTTTTGAAGATAAAATAAAAACATATTCAAAGCTTATTTTATATAAAATTATGAGGACCGGAGTTTTTTTGAGACGTTTAAATTTATCTTATAATAAATATAAATGACAATTTTCTGATCCCCAACAAGCCTATGATTGCCTCCCAAACCGATTTATTTAAATATTTGCTACGTCAATGTTCCGTTTTTTTCATATTCTTTATTCCACCTGCCTAAACAAGAGATCTGCAATAGGAGGGTTTTTATTATATTGGATAGGCGGGTAAATATATTTTAAAAATTCGTAATGCCGGGACGGGTAAATTTAAAATATTTTTTTGGGCAAAATAAGCAGAAAAGGCTTATATTTTTTATTTCATAATATTGAATATTTCTATTTTCTAAGTTTAAGTAAAAAGAAATTAAGAGCCAAATCAACCAATCAAATAATTAAATTTTGTTTTAAAAATGAAAACTTGCCCATTACAAATCTTTAATTAAACCTATATCTCAACCTTCCTTATATTAAAATTGACTCGTTGGCTTTAAAGGCCATATATAATTTATATGCAAGATTCAATAATATCTTATTTGCACTTTATTATTGCACAATTCATATGTTAATTATATGTTTCAGAAAAACTACTTAATTTAAAATATCCAAAACATTAGCGTTTAGCCATCTTCTTTGTCTTTCACTATTTAGCTCCGATTGCGTTTTGATAAAATTTATGCTTCTGGATTCATTAAGCAATTTTATCTTATTTTGGCATTTACTAGGATCTTTATATTTTCTCGCGTTGCTTGTTGTAATATAATTTATTAAGCCAAATTTTTTTAATTTGACATCTTTTTGGGCCTGACTTTTTCTGACAATTTTGAAAATTATTTCCTTTGTCTCATGCATGCCATAGTAAACGTTAGCATCCTTAGGAAGTGTGAATTCATTCGGAATCATTTTTTTATATGGTCCAGTAGAGGATAATTTTTGAGATTTGAGAATATCAGTTTGGCATAATTCAAAATTATTGACATCCTCATTGAGATCATATTTCAACAAGGCTTTTATAATAACATCGGTAGTTTTATCTGAATTATTTATCTAAATGACAAGAATATAAATTTTGAAAGTGTACGTAATACGATCCATACCCATAGACTTTTATATAAATTCGATTTATATTTATTGCCAAAAGATTTATCCAAGTAAATTTTGATAATACAACTATCATCAGCTTTGGGGTTGATAAGCTAAAGTAAGTAATTAAATAAAATAAATTTATGTATATCAAAAATTAATTTAAAGTAAAACTTCTAATAGATACTATTTCTGAGGCTAATCATAGTAACCATTTAAAAAAAATATAATGTAAATTGATTCATAAACTATCCTTTTACTTTGTCATGTCCATAATATGGTCAAAAAACCACGCTAAATATTACAACAATTTAGGCTTTTTTAAAAATAATTAGCCCGACATTTCCTTTTTTTTAAATATAAAAATATATGAAATATACCTAAATAAATTAAATTTTTATTATAATTAAACTTATTTTTTCTTATGTTCGACAAAATAGTGAATCTTAACATTTAAAAAAATAAACCTAGATGTTAATTATATACTTCAGGTGAATCGCGATCTGTATATCTAGTTTTTGGCACTAAGCTCTGGTGGCAATCAGTTAGGAAGTGATTATTAATGGATGGATCATGATGGTAATCGGATTCGTTAAAATGACTCAATGATTCTACTCCGGAATCATGGACGGTATCAATAGTGGCGCCATTATTTTTGGAATTTGTTGAATTCGAATTTAATGAGCTGCACACATAAATAGGAGCGGCGGCTTCGACATCTTTTTTGGTAAAAATAGAATCATGCTCAATATTCACAATAATTTTTTTATGGTAAAGGGAGATAGATTTATTATTGGTAAACATATCGTTAAAAAAATTAGATAAATATACTGTTTTCATTATTTTTACTAATAATATTACCATCATTTTCATTGTCATTTTTGTGAATGCCTTTAGAATATATATCCTCGACTGCCTTTGAAATGTAACTAAAATCGTCAAAAACCAGATTTGTGGATCTTTTATTAAGATTCGTTATTTTAATGTCATCTGAAGCAATACAATTTTTTATAGATTTTTCTGATTTAATATCTTTACACTTATTGGTGCAATTCGAAATATTGATATTTTGTTGGTGAAGATATAAGTTTTTGTCACTTTTAACGCAGATTGAACCATCAAACGCAGCCTGACTACTATGTTTAAATTTTTTTAGAGATTCTAGGTTAGCCGTTTTTTCGAATGATTGTAGCATCGAATGCCTATCTAATATATAATCCTTGTAATTTATCTTATCATCATTTATATTTCGATAAAACTTTTTAAAATAATCAAAATGTATACATTTTTCAAACCATTTCCAAAACTTATGATCAGGATGTATATTATAGTTAGAAGCCGATGCTTGAAAAATTTTCATTTGGATCAGTATATCAAATTCTTTGCGCTTTTTATCAAAATTAATTAAATGTGTATGAGTGTTAAGTTCGTCGGAGATATTAGGGATTTTGTCATGTCTTATATTTTTAGTTGTATTCTCAATTTTTCCATTTGCGTTTATCTCAAAATCCTTTTTAGAAATAAAATCAGGTAATAATGTGTGTAGCATAGTCAAATCCGTTAAAAAAGTTCCTAAATATGGGACAGTCCCGTGAATTATATTTATATCAGTGTGTGACCTACAATATTTATACCGCCGCGTAACCTTGTCTTTTTTCATTAAGTTAGATGTTTCGACAATTTTTGCCGTGCCTTCTTTTTCTAGTAACTTTCTTTGATTGAATTGATTGTTTTCCTCGGAGCACAAACGTGAAATTTCCTCGAATAACACCATTTTTTCTCTAAATTTTAAAAATAGTTGCTGTGATTTTTTTTTAATTCATGGCATTGCATAGTATAACTAAAAGTGGCGTATTTAAGGAACCCGTTTTGGGGATACGGATCCAGAAGTAAAAAAATATATACCAAAAAAAACAAATGTTACGAATTTCGGTTTAAATGATTAACTCTTCCACATTCATTTATTAATAAATTCTGTTTAAACATCAATCTAACTCTTTTTTATTCTAAGTAAAAAATAGAACATAATTTTCTCTGGTATATATGATAAGTTTATTTTTAAATTTAACGTCGTAAACAATGTTTTTTTACCATGAATATATTTTATATTTCATAAAAAATAAAATTTATCAAATTTGAATAAATTAGAGGTCTGCATTGGGCGGGGTTTCGGTCCACCTTTTTAAAAACGGACAGGTGGGCGAGCGGGTTAAAAAATTTTTAATATGGGCGGGTTAAGAAATTTGAACAATGGGCGGACAGGTTAAAAAAAATTTTAAATCATTTAATTAAATATTAATAAAAAATTGTTCTTATGAACTTTTTTGGATATTAAAAATTAAAATGTCGTTTTTTAGATAAATCCTGGCTACGCTATTATTTCATATTTATATATTATTAAAATAAAGTTTTTTTAAATCACTATTTTTTATTCTTTAAATTTATTAACAATTATAGTCAAACCAATAGCAATACTAAAACAAGAAATAGAAGAAATAAAAAACTCAATATAATACTTTGAACCAAAACCAATATTTTGTTAATCTTGGGTTTTTAATGTTAGTTCCCAGCCCAATACTGTAGTATATTTTAATTGCTTATATATAGGGCTGTGCCGATCCATATATTTTTCACCGATCCGATCGATATTGCTTCAAACCCTATCCGATATTTATATTGATTTTTCACCACCCCCCTTTGAACCAAATGTAATTAAGAAATCAATATTTTTTATGCAAAAAATCAAATTATGCATTTAATTTAATTTTTTTATATTTCTACAAGACTATAATTTAAAAAACATATATTTGATAATATATCCATTTTATGTTGGTATGAATTATAAAATTGTATTTAATATATAAAATTATATCAGATTTTTTTAAATAAATACGAGAGCCTCTAGATTTTCTGGTAATAAACTTCTACGTAGTGTTGTTAATTGGTTGGTTGTATAAAACCAAGACCTGGGGTTTTGGTCTAAAAATCGACTAAACCAACTCTCAGCAAGAACCCCGAGCACAGACCCGTGGTCGGACCCTTGGTTAAGATCCGGGGTTGTTTTTATTGTTAGATAATATAGCCCTGCAAGCAAGTCAGTTTCGGGATTAAAAAATTTATATCTGGTCGAGTTATGGTTTAATTTATAAAATCCAAAATTATAGTTTACTGAGAATAAACGAAAGAAGACAAATACTATAAAATTTAATATAAAAATTAAAATGCTTTTTATTTAAATAAATTTAAATATTTTTCAGGGCTAAAGAAAGGAGGAAGGTGCTAGTAGTGCCTAAAAATCAATTGGTATATATCAATAACTGAGATAGGGTTTTAGAATAAGTTACAATGGGCTCTGGCTAAATAAAAATTTAATTTGCATAGCCTCTACTTGGGTAGAGTAAACATGTTTTTTTAATCAGAGTTAGTGTGATTTTGTAGCGAAATATACAAAAATGAAATTTTTATAAGGAAAACTAAGAAAAATTATAAACCTTATTTATTAATCTTATTCTAATTATAAATAAAAAAGCTTTATTATTTTATTCTACATTAATCACAATAGTGTTGAAAATAAAAAATAATTTTTTTTAACCCTGAAAAAATATTATTATAATTTCTTATAGCGTGTGTTATATACAGGGTAAGATATTATAAAAAAAACAAAAAGTTAAAAGAATGAAACACTATGTGTCTTTATTTTTACATAATACTTAAAAAATAAATGACGATTCATTAATATATATAACAAAACAAACACTACAAAAATACATATGGAAAAATTGGTTATTGCTTAAGTTATTATTCTTTTTTTATTTTATTTTTTTTGTTATTTTTTTTTGTTATTTTTTTTATATTATTTTTTTTATGTTATTTTTTTTATGTTATTTTTATGTTATTTTTTTTATGTTATTTTTTTTATGTTTTTTTTAAATGTTATTTTAATATAGTATTATTATGTAAATATATTTTTCTGTAAATCAAAAGTAGTAATATATTTAAATCTATTTATCTTAGATATAATCGGTTGGATCAAACAAATTATTTCCATTATAGGGTCAATCAATCCCGAAACTTCGTTGACCCAAATAATAGATCCATTCACACCCAAAAAGTCTAAAGACTGTGGCGGGATCTTAAGGAAAACTATAAAAGACATGGGGATCGAGAGAATATTCATGAATATTTACTTGAATATAGATATTTTAGAAAACATAAATTATTAAATCGCTTTGATCTTTTTATTCTATTTATAAATGACTGTATACATTTTAATACAATTTTTCAATTTAATGAATAAAATTGACTCGTTTATTACTATATTTCGATATTTTTATTTTATATAAATTTCGATAATATATTTCAATTTATTTCGAATTAACCCTTCCCAACAAAGGTTAAAAAAATCACTTAGAATTTAAAGATGGGGTCTATTTTACCTCTAATAAATACAAAATTTAAGATTTTATGCTAATTTTCCTAAAATTGTTTAGATTATCAGACTATATTTCAATTTAATGAATAAAATTGACTCATCACAATTCTTCTACCCTCCTCCCCTCCCTAGGAATTAAGAAATATTTTTAAAAAAGAAAAAAATATTTTAAAATATTTTAAAAGAAAAAATACATATTAATTTAAAAATTTATCACCAAATAATAAAAATATGCTACATTATTTTAAAAATTTATCACAAAACCAAATAATACTATATTAATTTAAAATAACATTTAAAAAAAACATCAAAAAAATAAATAAAAAATACCCCTCGACTTAAGCAATAACCGTAAAATTTTAATGTAATTTTTTTGCAATTACAATTTTTATACTACTTAAATTTTTTTATATAAAATACAGTTTAATATTTTTTTCAAATGTTTAATATATGACAAATTTTATATACATAATACAGATTCATTTACATCAAATCCTGATCCTGTTTATTCTAATTCACAAATGTTGAATATACGACAAATTTTATATACTAACACGAATAATACAAATTCATTTACATCAAATCCTGATCCTATTTATTCTAATTCAATACCTAATATATCTGCTACAAATAATTCCCATTATATCAATTCTCCCTTATTGTATAAAAATATTGAATATAGCCAGAGAAAAAATATTTTTCTTAGACGAGACAGGCATAAATTTACATGTTGTACCTGTTTACGCCTGGGCACCATACAATGTTATGCCAACTGTTAAAGTCCCACCATCTAATGGTAAAAATTTAAGTATATTATGTACTATGGGAATCGAAGGTGTCATACTTTATCGCATCATCGAGGGAGCTTATAATAGTCTACTATTTCGAAAATATATGATAGAACTAATTAATATCATACCAAGGGATGCAGTTATTGTTATAGACAATGCATCCATCCATAAAAGTCACCTCATTGATAGTTTTAAAGTGCGAGTAGAATTTTGCTCCCCTATTCGCCTCAACTTAATCCAATAGAGATTTTCTTTGGCGTATTATAAAACAAATATAGGTCAATGAATCCCCGACCAAATACAAGAAACGAAATCGTTCATAATGTAACATCAATTCTTAATGAATTTACTATTCCTTATGACTTTTTAAGTTATAATAAAATGCATCCATATTTGAGAATGGTTATCGAGGACAACTATTGAATTAAGGTAAATTTATAAAAATATAATTTATATTTAAATATATTTTAAAGGAATATAGAAAATCGGAATACATAAAGAAAAAACGAAAATTAAAATATCCAATTTTTTATATTTTAATGCATTTTTTAAATCTGTTTTGTCATACATTATATATTTGATCGTCATTTATTTTTTGAGTATTATATAAAAATAAAAAAACATATGGTTAAATCTTTTTAATTTTTTGCTTTTATTATAATAATTTACCCTGTAAATACAGATTGTAAAAAAATAATCACATAATGTAATAAAATAATAATATACAATATCTTTAAAAAAAATATTTATAAAAAGTTTTATTCTGTAAAAATACCCCTCCTCACCCTCGCCATAGTGGCCACAGAATTTACAGTAATAATATGATTTGTTGTAACACATTTTCATAATGTGAAAAAACATTCTTATATAGTTAAATAACTTTCCATAATTATTGTAAAAACATTTTGATAAAATTTTTAAAAATTTTTGATATAATTTTTTAAATAATAAGAGTTTTTAAACTTTAATGAAGATTAAAGTCAAAGTTATGAATCGAATATAATTTTTTTATGTTTTGGACCCAAGTTTAATTGGGAAAATGAGAATAAAAATTTTCTAAGATTTTTAGAATAATTTTTTTTTAAAATGCATTGTAAATTTTTTTTAAAGTATTATTACACTATATGAATGTTACTTTTAGTTATCTAAAGAAGGAAATCAGGATAAGAAATTTGATAATTTCTTAAAAAACATAAGTGAAAGAAAATTCGAATTTAGGGTTTTCAGATAATTCTTATTTTTTTATATTTTTTTTTGGTTTTAAAATTAAATAAAATTTAAATGTTGTAGTTGCTTTTATTAACCTAAAATGACGCACACCAAAAATCATCGAGATGTGCCACCAACCATTCTACCCATAATGGAAGCCCCGACACTTCAATTTAACTTTCCGTAATTATTGTAAAAACTTGTTGAGAAAAATACATCCTTTTTTAAAAAAACTTTTAAAAACTTGAAAGAAAATTTTGAGAAAAACATTATATTTTTAAAAACTTCCGGTAACCTATGCACAATAGGATAAGTGGATTGAAAAAATTCACAATAGATGGGGCTTTTACTGCGATAAAAGGCATACCTGGATGAATTATTCGCACTTTTACCATCAAATTCATTACTTATAATGGATATTGCTCCTATACATCGAGCGAATTAGTGAGAATTTTCCAAATATCATATTTTTCCACCCTATTCGCCGCAATTAAATCCGATAGAAAAATTTTTCGGAGTAATTAAAAATCAATATAAATGAAATTCTCCTAAACCCAACAACCGAAATGAAGTTATTTCAATTGTTACGAGTATTTTAGGCAATTATTTTACATATAATTTTTAAAGTTTTTTGAAGGAATTTGTAATTGATTTATATTGTGTAATATTTTATTTACATAGAATAAATAAATAATAAATGGTTTTTTTTATTTGGTGTTTCGAATTGATCATAAAAAATTCTAACAAATAAGAATTATCTGAAAACCCTAAATTCGAGTTTTCACTCATGTTTATTTAAGAAATTATTCAAATTTCTTATCCTGATTTCCATTCTTTGGATAACTAAAAGTAAAATTAAAATATTGGAAAAATCACCGATCAACATTCCAAGCGATGAGTTTTCATTATCTCAGTCAATAGGGCAAGAATTAGTCGCTTCATTTTCTACGGATTATACATTATCCAATCCAGTAGATATAAAAAATTCTTTTTTGCTAATGAAAAGCTTTATTATTTTATTCTCCATTAATCACAATAGTGTTGTTAAAAAGCCTGATTTGGGTCGATATTTTATAACGGCCCGATTAATATTTTAGCTAAAATAATTTTATGTAAGTATTCATATTTGGCAAATTGAGAGCTTTGAGCAAAAGCTTTATATAATTACTAGTTTATGGTTACTTACGCATCTTCAACTAAACTTTTATGGGATTTATAGGATACCTATTTTAACTTTACAAAATTCTTGAGCGAGCCGTTATAGCTAAAAATTCAAGCATTAATAACATTGGTGTGAATGTGAATAGCGCAAAACAATACATGTAGGTTGGTGCTTCAACATATACTATTTTTTTTCCTACATAAATTAAAACAACTCAAAACAATTTTTACTGAATTCCCAAAAGTTCATTTTAGGTAAAAATTTTAATTTTCATAATTGAATCGCTCAGATTTCAACTATTTTTATATTATTAAGTGTATAAGGAAGATTTTTACAGTATTAAAATTAATCATGAAAGGTAATTAAAATATTTTGTGAATGCTATTATCCATCAAGGTTCTTTGGTCTAACTAATTGCTAGGACCTTTCTTCAGCCCTGAGTCTGAAAATATTTAAATAAAAAGCATTTTAATTTTTATATTAAATTTTATAGTATTTGTCTTCTTTCGTTTATTCTCAGTAAACTATAATTTTGGATTTTATAAATTAAACCATAACTCGACCAGATATAAATTTTTTAATCCCGAAACTGACTTGCTTGCAGGGCTATATTATCTAACAATAAAAACAATCCCGGAAAACCAAGCCGACCACGGGTCTGAACCAAGGGTTTGTGACCCGAGCAGGCCTCAGCACAAAATTGGTTCGTAAATTTTACAACCAAGCAAATTAACAACACTACTTCTACGATATGGAGTATCTATATCCCCTGCCTTAATGAAGGTAAACTCAGATGATTCCGCAGATAATGCATTTTGCATCTTTGTTTTCGTATATCCTTAATGTTAATTTTTCTCATCAACTTTCCTATATTCTTAATGTTAATTTTTATTTTTCCTATCAACTTTCCTATCTTCTTAATAATTTTTATTTTTCCTATCAACTTTCCTATCTTCTTAATAATTTTTATTTTTCCTATCAACTTTCCTATCTTCTTAATGTTAAATAAATCGATGGAGACTATATCTCTCTAATGTTAAATTTTAAGAAAATTTTTTGTATATAACGGGATTCGAACCCACGACTTAACGTTTTAAAGGCAAGCGTTCTTCCCGCTCAACCACCTTCTATATTAAATTTTGTAATATAATCTTTCTTATATACTTTATTATTTTGCTATTATTTTATATTTTTATTGGCTTATTAATCTTTATTTTTATTGGTTTATTAAGGTCTTATTTCATTGGTTTAAATTTATTTTCTTTCTATTTGGTTTAAATTTATTTTCTTTGTTTTATTAATTAATAATCAACCATTTTTTATTAACGATCTTTTTTTAATTAACGATTTTTAAGAAGATCACAACCTTTTTTATGTTTTTAAGAAGATAGTCAAGTATAATAATTTTATTAATAAAATTTAATATTATATATATAGATTATCATGGAAAATATAAATATTTATACAAACCAAAAATTTGTTCAAATTCTTAAGTACCAAGTGAATATAAAAGTTCCTAAATCAGTGTCAACCCTTCAATCATGTAGGTTTATATTACCTGTTTTCTAATTCAGTGTCAACCCTTTGATCATATAGGTCTATATTACCTGTTTTGGAACACTTAATGTAGGGTTAAGCAAATGTACCTCTCAAAAAAACCTAAAATTATGATTGTACCTACAAAATATGCTCAAATAATTAACGTAAGTATTTATTAAAATATCAATTAACCATTTTTAAATATTAAAAGAACCATATAATAATAATTTATGATTCAAATCAATCTTACCCTCTCAAGTAAAATATTTTACTCTCTATATACCTTTAAATACTCAAATAACTAAACTATTGTTATTACTATTAATAAAAGTCAGTGTCAAACCTTCGACCATCTAGACACCTCAATTATTTAAAAAATAATTATCTTAATTAACCTTCAAATGTATTGGAAATAATACTCAAATACCTTACCCAAGTAATTATTAAAATATCAACTAAAAAAATAAAGATATATTTTATTTAACCAATCAAAAAATAAATATATAAAAAAAAACATATAATAGTGGAAAAATTTATGATTCCCATCAATCTTACCCTCTCAAGTATAAGATTTATATTTAGAAATAAACTAAATTATTTTAATTATAATATTTCACACATTATTATTTAAAGTCAAATGGACTCCATATACCTATTTATTTCATGGAATTAAAATACTCAAATACCTAAACTATGTAACTATGCCACAATATGCCAATCAAATTCACTACTCCTTAGTACATATTACATTTTAAATTTAACAAATAAATTTAAATTATATTTAGCCAATTGAACATTAAAAGTCATAACAAAACTTTTCTCTAACCAATAATATGTGATCTCTGGAATACCAATTTAGCACTAAGTAAAATCCAAACTTTTAAATTTAAACGTCGTCAATTTCCTATTCTCACATCTTTTGTTATTACTATTAATAAAAGTCAGTGTCAAACCTTCGATCATGTAGACATCTCAATTATTTAAAAAAATAATTGATCAACCCTCAAATTTATTGAAATTAAAATGCTCAAAAAACTAACCCAAGTAATTATTAAAATATCAATTAAAAATATTTAAATATTAAAAAAAACCATATAATAGTGAAAACATTTATGATTCCCATCAATCTTACCCTCTCAGTTAAAAAATTTATTTTTTATACCTATTTATTTCATGGAATTAAAATACTCAAATACCTAAACTTTGTAACTATGCCACAATATGCCAATCAAAATTACTACTCCTAAGTACAAATTACATTTTAAATTCAACAAATAAATTTAAATTATATTTAGCCAATTGAACATTAAAAGTCAATATAATACTTTTCCGTCACCATTAATATGTGCCCTCAGGAAATGATATACAATACCTATTTATCCATATCTTCCTACATTTATGAATACAAATTCATATATTTTATGTTCATATATTTTACATTCATATATTTAACATTAGATTTAATAAAATCTATATATATTCACA